CTCTACGTCCATCCCATGGGGAATGGGAGCAAAAACAAAAGTGTTGCGTTTATATTTTTGTTCAGTGTATGAATGATCCTCAATACATGTGTGACAGGAACAGCAGCACATATGCACTGATGTGGAAATCTCATCCGAAGGTATAGACGATGCATCGGCAAAGATGGGACAACACAACAAGAGGTTTGTCCTTTCTCATTTTAACCAAAAACACAGTGTTTCTTCATTTCTTCTGAATCACCAGCTTTTCCTTTGTGAGCCTTTTGATCTAACATTTATGACCTCTCTCCTTACTCCCCTTATCTGTGTGTCAACAGCTTGCTGGAAAAGAAAGTGGAGGCACTCCAGGGCTATATGGCAAAGCACAAAGACCAGATTCACCTGATTATCCAGCTAGTTTTAGCTGCTGGTAAATTATCTGTGTTTGTATCTGTTAAAGTGTAACTCAGGTCCCTATGTAGGTTATAGTTGTATAGGGCTAAAATACAAAGGCATAAAAGGAGAATCTATTTCTAATTTTGTACAGAGTTGTAAAGGGCTGTTAAATTTACAAATTAGCCTGACAGGTGAGTGGACCTGCATGTTCTTTGCCTTTAGAGCAGATTGATGTGAGCATGTTTTTGTGGAACAGACTGAAAAAATAAAAGTTTAATTTACTACAAATCGCTTTCATTGTCAGTGGAAAAATCAAGACTTGGTTTATCAGAGTATGTGCGGTGTGTACTAAAAGGACTTGTCAAGGTCTGTCCAGGCAGACACAAAATGACATTTCGCATCCCACGAATGGTACCGTGACACCTTATTGATTCAAAGATAACAACACACCAAAATTTAGGCAATTATTTATTCCATTATCTGAGTCCCTTTGTAGGATATCTGATTTTCAAAACACCTGCCTTGTTAATCTTTGACTGTATAAAAGGTTAAAAGTTTAGTTAATGTTTTAGCACTGATGATGACCCCAAACCTGCTTTTCTGCCAGGTGGTGAGTACTGAATACATCTAGTGGTGAGTGCCATCATTCAAAAATTCAGGATATGAGTGTGTGGAGTACATGTAGATAATATGAGCTTTAATGAAACACGTTTTTTCATCTCAATTCATCTTTAGTAGATAAGAGATTCCAGCTCAAAACACCTTGTCATGAGTCCATAATACAAAAATAACCAGAGAAGGGAATTGAAATGTAAAATGATCTTTTTAGCGTGCACAGGCTTTAAAGTACATTCTATGGTTTCCAGCCTTTTTCATGTGCACCCCCACGTCAATTTTTCTGACATCCTGTCTACATCTTAAAAACAAATATCTTTACTTAATGCTCTGTTCTTCCACTTTAGAACAGGCTTGCTACTGATTACTTCACACACATTCTTGATATCAAACTGATTTGAATATAAATGGAGGGACCAATAACATATAAAAGATGATCTTACGATGTTTCAATCTGTTGTGGTTATTACACTTGATTGAAGTAAATTGATGTAGATCTAAAAGGAAAAAAAAAACATACCATCATGTTAAAAAAAAGGTTTTTTTTTTAGAGTGGTGCTGAAAATTTATTATACCCTTGATGCTTCTATAGCAAGGGTAGTTCGCAGGCAGGTGCTGCTAATCAGATGTACTTGATTAACTGATGATCAGCAAGCCTGAGCACCTCTGCAGTTTTTGGCAGTTTGCTGGTCTGTAGCATTCAGGCGTGTGTTAACACAGTCTTCCCAGGAATGGACATCCCCATCAGTTCACCCCAAGGTCAAACCAGAAAATACTCAGAAAAAACGTTTATTGAAAAAAAAAAAAAAGTGTTAAAATTCATGACATTACAATTAGAGGAAAAAACTGAACAAGTGACTTGCTTAGAAGGGCTGCCAGGAGAGAGTTTTTTCCCTCGACAAAGAACACTGCAGCACAGCTTAGGTTTCTAAAGCTGCATCTGAATAAACCAAAAAACCTCTTGAACGCTGTCCTTTGGTAGATGAAACCAAAGTGGAAATGTCTAACCATAATGCACAGCATCACATCAGGCAAAAACCAAGCACAACATATCAACGCAAACACCTCACACCAGCTTTCAAGCATGGTGGTGGAGTCATGATATGGGCTTGTTCTGACACCACTGAACATTGGTGGCCACTTAGCACATTGCTAAGTGGCGCTGTTTGTAAGCTGAATATATATATTTAAAATACAATTTTTAAATATAAAAAAAATCTCTCCCCTGATGGTCACATCTCACTGCCATGAGCCATTTTGTCGTTATAAATTTGCATGTTAGCTAAATATAGTTTCCCGTAACATTTAGATTTAACATTTAGACTTAACATTTAGATTTAAATATAATACTAAGATTTAACTTTTAACATTTAGTTTTAAATATAATAATATTTAGATTTAACATTTAAAATTGTATTTTAGATATAAAAAGTTACAAATATTTTAGTAAATGTTGTAAAAAATGACTCGAAAAAACATGTTTTTGTAAGCTTTTGAGATAAACGTGGAAAAATGTTGCTGTTAATTGCAGCATGTTTCAGTTTACAAAAGGTGCCCCATACCTTGCAGCTGAACATAAACTCCTCTGTATACCAAGTATTATAGAATAGAATAGAATAGAATTCAACTTTATTGTCATTGCACATGCACAGGTACAGGGCAACGAAATGCAGTTTGCATCCATCCAGAAGTGCTTTAGTGATATAGATATATTACAATATATATTAGCAATAATATAGATATGTGAGTATATTACAGAAATGGGTCTATTATGGTATGTTATAATGTACACGGTATGAAGTATGTTGTGAATATTCTATAACTATAAGTATGTACAGGCTGTAGTGAGTACAAGCTATGTACAGGATATGAACAGGATATAAATATGAAAAACTATACAGAATATGAAATAAATAACTTTACAGAATCTGGGATATACAGCTATACAGAAATGGGAACTATGCAAGTTGTAAACAGTTGTAGGATTAAAGATTATCGAATGTACAGAATGATTATTTACACAGAGCTTAAGATAAGTGAGGGTGTAGATAGTTTCTACAGAGGCTATATAAAGTGCTGGTGGTTGTGAGTGGTGGTTCAGTCCATGTTATTATTGTGTTTGAGGGTACAGTTGTCCATTGTGGGTGTGTGTATGTTCAGTCCATGAGTTTAACGTGGGTCAGATGTCAGGAGGCAGAGTTCAGGAGTCTGACAGCTACAACCAAATGTGAGGTCATCTATCCAACACTTAAAGCTTGGCCCAAATTGTCTCAAACAGCAAATATACAAAAGTCTGGCTGAAAAAGAAAATAATTAATGTGTTGGTGGCAGTGGCCAGACCTATGGCTGGACTTTTAAAAAGCTGTGCACAAATAAATAGCTGTAAGTACTTTTAGCAAAAGGAAATGAAAACGTTTGTCTGTTAGCTTAACACATAAATAGCTGCCTTAAAAGTCCTTCAAAGGATTACATTTAAATGCTGAATACATTTGAGAACATGTACTTTTTTACTTTTATTTGAGTAAAAAAGTTTAATCATGAATTCCATTTGTAAACAGTTATCATACTCTGAGTGGAAAAAAAATCTTACACCACCTTTGATAAAATACATTAATTCATTCTTCTTTACCTATACATTTTAGCTATTTATAGTATAGTTTGCATTTTAATGTTCAGGTAACAATTGAATTTGTTTAATCATGTTACTAGCTAAGCTAATTAGCAAAGCTAGCTAACAGTGAGCTAGCTATTTCAGCTGTTTCTTCTGGGGGGGGGGGGTTTTCCACCACAATTTCTATATATTGCTTTTGTGTGCTAGATTTTCTACTGCTACTAGACTACTTTTAGTTAACCTCTCAGCTCAGACCTGTTCAGTCGAGGAATCTAGTAAGACTTTGAGTCCTGAATCATACATATAACCTTTAAGTAGCGTTTGCCTGCTGGAAGATGTGTCATCTGTGCACTCCATTTTCACATCAACTACACTCCCTCGCTGCTAGATACAAAACAGATAATGCAGTAGTCTAAATATAAACATTTCATTAACATGCCAGTAGTCTGAGGGTCATGCGAGGATGTAACTCACATTGATTCTATATTTGTTTCAGGCTTTGTTGCCATGGTGATAGCGGCATGTGTTGTGAACTTCCATCGGGCTGTTGGGCTGCTGGTCATCTCCTTGGTAACCATTTTTTTCCTGGTCTGGGATTGGATGATGGAACGATATGGTGAGCAAGTGTGGGAGGCTCTTGCTCCTATCAGAGACCTTCTCAGCAGGAACTGGTGTGGGATCAGATGGTGAGAAATGAGGCAAATCATATTTCAGCCTTTCTGCTCCCATGTGCACCTTCTATGACAAAGGAACTGGGCACCTAGGGGTTGGCCAGGTGGGCTGAGAGAACTGATCTTTTCACCATAATGACACAGGAAGAAAAAATGTGAGGGACTGTAAAGATAGCATACCAAAAATCCCTCGTTGATGTGAATGATGTGCGAGACAGTTCAGCATGTGGAGGGTTTCTTAGTTTTCTAAAAATCACAGCATCCTCAGACTGATAAGATTTCTGATTAGTGAGACTGACATGAGTATTGCATTAAACACAATAAAATGATTTGCTGAAATGCACCCCACCTGGATAATTTTAATTTTCTTTATCTTGTAGATTGTAAGCAATGATTTAAATATATACTGCTTTATTATTCATAACATCAATGCTTGACCTACAGTACAGCCTTTGGCTAATGTCTACAAACCATATTACATTCTTTTAAAATCCTGTTCTGTCTAGCAGCTTTTGCGATCAGAATTATGATCTGAATGCACTGTCATGTTAAAAACATAAATTCTCTGCACACTCCTCTAGTTCAGGGTTTATCTCTTCATGTCTTCATTTCTATTTGTGTCATTTCAGATATATGTGGTATACTGAATGACAATGACTAAGGCAGGACAAGCAGAAAAAAGGGGGGCGGGTGAAATAAAGAAATGTACAACATATTGCCAATTGCCATTCCCGTAAGAAAAACAAACATACAACACCAGGTGTGTGAGTGTGAGGGAGAGAAAGAGAGTGTGTTTTTGTCACGAAATGTACTTGATAATGAAGGTGAGAAGCTTCAATAATGCCCCCCAGGAGCCAGAGGCAGACAGAGATGGATCCAGGAAAAACCGGGCCATCTGCAGCCCCAAGACCCGGGGCCAAACTTGTCAGCTATATCTGAGCACCCATCTCAGCAAGAGTAGGAGGGAGACCCGATGGTGCACCAATGGCCAATGGCTGGGAGTCCCAGGGGTGATGGGTAGCCAATGCCGCTAGAGGCCGGCCAACCCGGTGCAAGTCAAGATCAGGGTACCCCCACCACCACCCACCAACCCACCCCCGCTTTTCTTTATTAAACCTTGTAACACTGACCTATGAATCTTTCAAGCACCTAAAAAAAAAAAAACCCCACTTAACTTCAACATAGATTGTAAGCTGCATCTAAACTGTATGCTTTCTTACTAGCAGCTTGTCACAAGAACACATCATTTGTTCTCAATGTAAATACTGCATGTGCGGAAGAGTTTAGAAGAGAGATGCAACTGTGAGTGTCTACAGCCATCTGTAAAATATGGGTTTGGGCCACATTTCAGCTGGTGGTGTTGGGGATCCTGTCAAAATAACATTATGAAGTCAGAAAAGTATGATCAGATTCTGATCAACCAATCAACACCATCTGGAAAGTATCTGATTGGCAACAACTTCATTTTTCAGCATGATAATGATGACAAACACACTGCTGATGCAGTAAAAGCATACCTGGATAGAAAAACACACAGTGGAACATAATCAGCTAAGGATTAGCATCCCTAGAGCCTGGACATTAACATTATTGAAGCAGTGTGGGATCATCTTGACAGAGAACAGAACAAAAGGCAGCCAACATCCAAAGATTAGCTTTAAACGTCCTTCGGGAAGCCTGGAGAACTATTCCTTAAGAGTACTTAAAAGAAATGACAAGAAGGCCTGCCAATGAGTTCGGGTGGAAGAATACAGGTGGTCAGACCAGATATTGACCGTTAACTCTGGTTTTGCCTTATGTACAGTATTTTTATTTATGTTTGCACATCACTGCACCCATTTCCAGATTTCCTAGAAAAACGTAAAGAAATGAGAGTTGGTTCAAGATTTTGCACAATAGTGTATTTGTTGTTTCTAAGCTGACACAAATTTAGGTATATAACAGTATTATACACATAACGTGGAATACACACTGCATACTATAGTGTTTGTACAGAGTCTGTGTGTTCTTCTCTCTGAATTCCTCCACTTCCCCTCTTTCTTTCTCTTTCAGGATAATATATATGTCAGTGCTCGTAGCCGTGGTGTGCTGGCTTGCTCTGGACACGGCCCAGCGGGGGACTAGACAGCTGGTATCTTTCTTCGGCTTGCTGCTGTTCGTCTTCTTAACACTCCTGTTCTCCAAACACCCCTTCAGGGTAAAAGACGGACATACATGCTTACAAATGCATAAATGCACAAATTCACACACGTATTTTTGCACATAGACAAATGTATTTTTCATGTGTGTTGCAGTGGTCTTGGCAAACGCTGGTTTTTGGGACTGGGCTGCAGTTTATCTTTGGCCTTCTCATTCTCAGGACCACTTTTGGTTTAGGTGCACTGCGGTGGCTTGGAAACAAAGCAGAGGTGTACACACAAATATATTTAAACACACACACATCCTTTTTTTAGTGGCTTGTATGGTTGCTTTTGGTAAATTTGCAGATGTAGCAATCACTGCTTTTCTAAAACAAATGTTCCTCCTGCATATATTTGACATTTAATCTTAAGATGAGGGAAACACTACATTTAAAATGTAAAAAAAAAAATCATCTGTTACAATTTTCTTTTTTCTGTTGCTGAAAACTGAACATCTCTGTGCAGGCGTTTATGTCCTTCACGGATACCGGATCAAAGTTTGTGTTTGGTGAAAGTTACACGGACCACTTCCTTGCCTTTAAGGTATGACGATCCAGTGAAACCGCACATGTGACTAAATGTGTTTAAAGGACAATCTAGTTTTTAATATCAAGGTATAAACATAACTAGAAGCATTACAAATATTTTGCTGATTGTGGACTCTCTGCAGGTGATGCCAATACTTGTATTTTTAAGCTCTGTCATCTCCATGCTCTACTACATTGGCTTCATGGCCTGGCTCATTTGTAAGGTGAGAATGGAGGAGAGCACAGACACAAAAAGACATGCTGTATAAGGAGTCAGATGAATTGTTTCAAAGCATTATTTTAGAAATAAGACTGTTGACTGTTATAGTAACAGACAGCACGGAATGAGAATGTATATTAATAATAATAATGATAGTGTTATATTTATCACATTATTATTATTATTATTATTATTATTATTATTATTATTATTATTATTATTATTATTATC